CCCACACCCACACCCACACCCACACCCACACACCCAAACCCACACCCACACCACACCCTCATTATAATAGGGCCGTATAACTGCATCCACTGATACTGCCGTATACAGGCCGTAGCGATTGGCCTGGAGATGTTGAGAAGATTTATTATCTTTAATCAAAAAAGAATATCATGATTCTCTTATAAATCATATATGCAATCTTACAATAAGACTTCCAACGGAGTATCCCTAACTATTGAACGGCATTTGATATAATATTTTGACTGTCGATAAATCTTGATGGTGTTAAGAAGAGTATAAATGAGTTTGAGCTTATGGTCTACCTGAACCAAACTCTCATGTCTCATATGCCAAAAAAAGCGTTCTTTGCACAACATAGAACCTACACTTTGCTACATCAAATTTCAAATTTTTCCAGTCTATAACGGACAAAAAAATTGCCTTTTCCATCTCATTTTTTCACCACCTAATACACTGTATTAAAAAAAAACAAAATAGACCATAAGATGCAGCGTGAAAAGCTCTACAATTTACACAGTAACGCTTATTGTAATTGTTTTCAAAAAAGAGCAAAACTCTATGCGACCAATTTTCGCAAGGACAAAATTTGATTGTTCAAAGTTTTGTCTATTTTGAAAACAAAAAGTGAAACCGTAAAACGAGCTGTTTTTTGTAAATCGCAGGGCTTTTCACGCTGCACCTTGTGGTATATTTTGTTTTTTTTTAATACAGTGTATTAGGTGATGAAAAAATGAAATGGAAAAAGGCAATTCTTTTTTGTTTGTGAGAGAGGCAATATGTTCCATGACTCTAAAGATATTGTTACTTTTATTTGGTACCGTTGCACTGCAGCTAAGGAAGAAAACTAGGCAAGAAATATACCGTCTTTTTCCTCAGATGTGACGTTAATGGTAACGAATATGTACAATATTAGATCTTAACACAAGAAGGCTGTTAACCCGAATTTTTTTAAACTTTTCTTAGCTTTATAGAGACCTAATCATAGTCCGAATATGATATCAGACAGCTTTAGACAAGCGAATATACTTCCTCGTTAGCTATTTCGATCTCTCATTCATTATTTAATAACATAATATTGAAAAACAATGAAATCAAACGAATGATCAATAGTCTATTCTATTCTATTCACCATTTTGATTTATCCATATTATCGATTTTTTTCTTTTTAAAGATTAATTGTCGCTAGATATCGCTAAGCATTGATTCATTATTATCTATAATACAGTGTGCTGGTCAAAAGTCTGATCCCACTTTTTTGCCTTGAGTCGTACATCAGACGTATACAACATTAATTTAATTTGTCTATATGCCTGTATAGTAGAGATCGAGTATAATCTATATATATCTGTTTAATACGAAAAACTCTTGAATATTAAATGCAACAAAAACAAACCAATTTCAATGCTGTGAAAAAAATCGCATAAAAGAACTGGCACTGATTCTTTGAACTGTTGAAACGTGTCGCATAAGATTTTCCTTGCTTCCGGTAATGACATTACAGTTTTCACAAACCAATTAACATCAAGTGAATACAAACATTCACTAGAAAGCATCGATAGTAAATTGTGAACAACATAAGAACCAGCAATCTTCGCTGATAGTGTGAAATTCGTCAATAAATATAAAACATCATACTCAAATAACTACCCATGTCATTTTTTTTTTGTCAAAACCGACAGTAACCGACGGTTTAGGAACAACCGTCGGTTGCAATGGTTTACCCTTTTTTAAGCTCCTCTCTGTAAATATTTTGAAGAAACCATTTTACCTATCTTTGAAATATCGATATTTATTCAAAAAAATCGATTTTAATATAATACAGTGTATTATGTTAGGTAGCGCTATAATTTCTTATTAGTTAGATACACCCACACCCTCACGGGCGGCTTGAGGGCGTTGACGAATATGGAGGGGGGAGGGGGCGTGATTTTGATCAAACTCTGACATTTTTCTAAGGGTTCAAAAAAATTTATATATTGAGGTTTTTAAAAAATTTAAGCACAAAAACCGCGGTTAACCGCCGGTTTTCGACCGGTTTGAAGCACATGGGTGATTAATTGATTCCACAGTAACAACATTTCCATTCCAATCTATGTTAAGACGACGTAGATTTGAAGCAAGACTTTTATTAATGGGAATAACTTGACTAAAATGGATTAACAAGACTATTTTGCAACAATAAAACATGTATTTACTTGTATTCTGTAACTTCCTGATGAAACAGTTTTTTTTTCATTTATTTATGCTAGGTTGTACGTCAATATATGTTCTATATACAATATTTGGCATTTCTTTATGCAAACTGTTCTTCCTTCCGTAATACACAAATGATAGAGATTTTTTAAACAAAGTTTTACATTCAACAATTTCTTATTTTATAGTGATGTCTAAACTAAGTCGAATGAATTAAGATCTTTTCATCACGTAACCATGTATATAGGCATACTTATTTTCAAAGATTTTTCTATCTTTTAAATCGAATACATCTTCGTTATATGACATTTTTTTGATTTTTTTACGAAAGTATCTGTCTTCTCTTTATTGATGACTAAATTGTATTTATAATAAAATCATGAGAAAAATCGAAAACAAGTCTCATCATAGAAATCAAATATTTTCTTCAATACTTTGCCATCATTTTAACAAGCAATAATTTTCTCAAATACATTTTCTATTATCGCAAAGTAATTTTTACGTTCCATGGAAATTTTCACCTTTTTCTAAGCCTTTGACGTTTGATATTTGTAGTGACATTTTTCGAAAAAAGTCCATTCAACATTATAATTTATTTTATAACGTATTCTGGCATTGTTTCTGAAGCTGCTCGATTTCTATCAAAGAGTATCTTATGAACTGTCATAGTTAATATGAGTCTAATATGTTTAAATCTCAAGTCTTAAATAAATTCTAACGAAATATACTTTAGAGAAATGAAGAAAAAGGTTTTCTTTGCAAGAATAAATCAAAAAATGTCATCCCTATTAACTCAAATACTAACAAAACCGATTCAACTTTGTCATTTCTACAAACGAGAAAAGATCATTAATTACAAACGACAAAAATAATAATTTTTGTCTCGATTCCATCAGAAAAAAGTACAGAATTTTGATGATTTCTTTTTATATGCGCCAATCCATAATGGTGTATAGGAGCTCATAATTGACTAATTTCAATCAGTTTTCTTATATTTATTGTATGCATATAAAAATCTAATACATAACTCAATTGTAATTCATCAACCATTTGCAATCTTCTCGCTATTATTAAAAAAAGATTACTCTAAAAGTGTATACCAATCATTGAAAAAGTAACTTATCAGTTCATAAACAAAGTAATTCAGTTTCATTTACAATTTCTTCTGATAAAATGCTTAGATATATTCTCGTCTCTCATATGCCTTATATGGAGTTTTTAATTAATATACATGATATCAAGGAAAGAAACTTACTTATGAGAATGTCTTCATGAATGTTCTTTAGTTAGCCAAGGACCACTTAGTCCAACGCTGAATTGTTCCAATTGTGGAAGATGTTGCAATAAATATGACAGAAAGCTTGATGAGCAATTTCGGATTACAAGTGACTTCAAATGTAAAAGACTGGATTGAATAGGCATAAAAATGCTATCAAGTGGTAGAACGAATTGATTGTCTGGAATATAATGTATGTGTCGCCAAAAACGCATATGACATACATGTAATGAAGGATATAAATAAAAAATTCGTTCATAATATGCACCTTCAGGCACACCTGTATACGTATAAGCAGCACGACATTCATTTGAAAAGCGTATGCTAAACATGATAAGATAATTAATACGTGTCAATGAGTTAAGAATTGATTCAAAAGAAGAACATTTAATGTCAATTAAAGATACATGACGAAGATTAATAAATGTAGATACATGCATGATGCTAACCATAGGCCATTATCAATAGCTAATGTATCTGAGGCACATAATGAACTAAGACGATTAGAAATGTTTGGTTGTGATAAATGTGTATGATAGAAGTTAGTCACTTCTATACTCATTCCATTGAGACGTCCAAGTAAACTGGCATAATTGATATATTATTAATGATAGCTGTAACTCGTGAATTAAGGTTAGAAAAAATGTTCGACAGAGAGATATTCTAATGTTGTTGCCATAGTTTGTCTTAATGTTACCATGTTGAATATTGTGCACCACTCTTATATAATGGCTTCATGAACAATAATACAAAGCATTATTATTCTTTTTGCCAATAGTCACCGCAAGTCTATACAATTTGTGTTTTCTTTTCTTGCGATCATTTTTCTCTCATTAACATGTTTATTATAAGAGGTGACAAAAAAAATTTTTCCAGCAGTCATGAATTATCATTTTTGCTTATGTGAAACTGATTTTTTGGCATCACATACAATTCTGTACAAAATTATAGAATCACTTGTTCGAGTGCAGTTGTTTGAGAGTGAGTCTAGATGTGGATGTTGGTGTGTGTTGATCGAAGAAGGAACGTACCCACATCCATACCCAAAAAACAATTAGTTCAGATAGTTCCATATAGAGATGTAAGCCGATGCATTGATTGACTGTAATGATTGAACTTTTTCGATGAATTTTGAAATAAAAAAGAGAGAAAACAATTTTTAAAAAATCTTGTCGACAAGAAATCAGACGATAACCTATCACAAAAATTGTTTAGAAAGACGGAAATTTTTAAATATGAGGTGTTTAGTGATGTATCACGACAAGGATAACTGATGACTTCAGCAACTATTTTGGGCAACAGTAGTGAGGGTTCAAACGATCAGCTTACATCTGTAGTTGCATGATTTAATTCTAATACTTAAAATGTTCATGTCTGACGATGGCCATTTTTCTTTTTGCAAGATTTTATTTTTATTAAATCAAAAAGTTACACTTGAAGTTTTTTTACAAAAAAAACATCGATAACATTCTTTTTTTAAACTACACACATACATTTAATTGTTTTGGTTTTAAATATTCTGAGCATTATTAGAATTTTTCGTTCCAAAAAGTGCATATAAAATAAATGTTGTTGATGCATTAATAGTTGACAGTAAATTATTAATAACTAAATATTGTCTAGCGCGTATATTTTCCATTAAACTTGGGCCGTGTAATGCATATATAACATTAAATATAAAATATGGTAATTGTGTTGATAAAAATATAATCATTATTGATAATAATAATGTATGAATTTTTCTTGAATGTTTTTTTCTATGAAAATAATGTACATGATGTTTATATTTATTTTTTGTTAAATTACATAACGTATGTATAATTGATAATGTACATATTATAATAGATGACATTGGTAAAAAGAAAACAAATATAAAATAAAGATATTGTCTCATTAATAAACGAAATAATGGTTGAGATCCAATTGAACTTAAACTAATATATTGATTATCAATTAAAACATGTTCAAACCAAAATGGTAAACAATATAGTATAGAAAATAATGTTATACTTAGAATAATAAATATTATTCGTTTTGGTGTTCGCCATTTTCGATATGAAAATGTACGCCAACGACATATTAATAAAAATCTATCAATTGATATTGCTGCTGTTAAATATATTTGAATTAATAAACATGTAACATGAGCTGGAAAAACTCGAATAAATAAATAACGATGAATTATTTCACCATATTCATGAAATGTTGAACGTATACCATGTGTAAGTAAAAAACCAGCAAGAACAAATATTGATATGAATGATAGACCAAATATATAAATATCTGTTGGAGATGATCGACGAACACGATTCAATAATATTGATAAACATGTGATTGAATTGCCAATAAGACCAATTATACAAACACATGAAAGAATATAACCTTCGATTACACGTTTGAATACAACAAGATTTTCCGATTCAGTTGTTGTTATGTTCATGGTTAATATAATCTGTTCTTAGTCTTTGATGAAAAGTGAAATATAGATTGTTGTTACAGCGTATTTCAAAACGAATGCTTACGTCGCTCCAATTTTTTGTGCCTAATAAAGAATTGAATTCAATGTGACTACTCTTCTATAAATTACATATAACTTTCATTTGATCTCAAAGACGTAAAATGTTGAGAGTCTAGACTAATATAATGAAACTTATATATTGTTCATGAACCTTTCATTATTCTTATCTTTCACATGAAATAGCTTCGAAAACAGGAAAAGACATGCTTTTCATCAACATCTTCGGACACTATTTGTACTCAACTAATCTAATAGTAGAAAAATATTACATTATCATATATTTTCTGAGAAGTAATTCATTTATGTTCTCGCTTACCGTCCAATATGTGCAATATTTAAATGTATATGTTTGTTCTATCTCCATAAAACATAAAATACTTACCCGATGGCGAGATTTTTGTTTTATCGTATTAAAAAAAAACATCCAAGTCAAATTAATTTTTGAGCTAAGTAATAATGACAAGAGAATACTTTTTCGATTCTTTGTGCACTCACTTACTTTTATGTTTAAAAAGAAACTCTTCTCTCATTAAAATTTTGACGTTATTCGTTGACTTTCTAACAATCATTATTTTCAAGGTTTCTTTTTCTTTGATGTATATATTTATAAATAACTCAGACATTAATTGTGGTGACTTATTTCTCTTTAATCTATTATGTTTTAATTCAATAGAACTCATATTGGATTATATGATATGTTTTTTTAGAATATATCGCTCAATCATTATAATCTTACTTTGATATTTTTTATCTTTCATCATCTAGAATCTGTCGACTAAATCAGCCAGGAAAAAACACAAGACAGCTTAATGCCAATTAGAAACAATATCTACCGATTCGACAACGATGTAGGAATAGAATATTTTACTCTAATATTTATTAGATGGACAAAATCCTCTGTATTTTATTTGATCTTTTTTTTAGACTAATGAATATATCAATTATTTATGCATTTTTTTTGTTTCAAACTATTCATGCGTAGCGATAGGTTTTATATTGTAATGCAAATAGTTATTGAATGATAGTATATAAACTACAGTGCTACTCTAAAAATTGATCCTACAAATTTAATTTCAATTTTTTTTTCTATAATAGTAACTGACATAAAAAATTTAAATAATGATTTGAATGGAGAAGTTTATTTTCAAGAAAAATTTGAAGGAAGTGAAAGTTCTTACTTTATTGTCAAAATTCAGGATTGATATAAAATCTAGAATCTAGTTTTTCGATACTCAAAAGCCCAAAATAGAAGTTACTTGTGATTACATACGGTGATAGAGAAAATAATTCTTTAGAAAATGACATGCATCCACACTCTCAACAAGAGTTGTTTATTGAACTATGTCAACTATAAGAAAGGCACGAATGCATTTTTGTTTCTCTTGTTCTCATAGCAACTGATAAAAACAGCTACTGTGAGACATTTCTATATAGTTTAGTCACACACAAACTGTCGTTGAGAGCTCGAAGATATCTCATTGTCTAGAGAACTAGTTACTCCATCACCGCGTGTAATCAAAGATAACTTTTACTTAGCATTGCTGAGTGCTGAAGATCTAGTCTGTGGATTTTCTAGAGATCCTGAATTTCGAGAATACTGTGAGGATTATTATGTTCTTCAACTTTTTGTTGGAAATAAATGCCTCTATTCAAATCAGTATGTGAATTTTTTATGCCAATTAACATTGCAGAGAAAAACCTGAAATATAATCCGCACGAACGATTTTGGAAGACATGAGTGCTTCATTTTGATAACGCAACTTAATGGAGTTTATATAATAAAAAACGACCATTTTTTTCTTTAATTTAATTTTCTGATGACTTAAAATAAACGAAATTGCCCTAATGCATAGATTACTTTTTTGTATCTGTGAGCTGACTATTAGTAAAAGCAAAATAGTCTTTATGGATCCAGCTTTGTCATTTTGAGCATGTTACTCAAGCCTAGCTGACATCTAAAACCCATCATATTTAGAAACGTATCATCTTCAATTTCAAATGTATTCCTTTCTTATTTTTTTAATAAAATACCGCTTCCTTTATGAGAAAAACTAGATTTTAGTTGAGGTGACATTTAAGGAATGGTACTGTCAATCTTGACCTATTTACAAAAAAAAGAGAATTATTTATTGACCAATCAACTTTCAATGGCTTGACAAATTTCAATTATTGAATTGCTCATAATAATAGAACATCTTAATTGATTATATATATGAGTAAAAGCTATGTAATTTTTTTTTATAAAGAGTCAAAATTAATAGTCTGTTTTGATGAACAATGACAAAATATGAAAAAAAAAAGTTTCATTGGTTTTAATTATTAAAGCTTGATTATTATGTTGAGAAACCAACAATTTAAAAAAACCGAACAGACTCTTCGCTGTTCTATTTTTACATGAATGGACTGAACTCATCAAACTCTATAATAATTTAGGTATTATAAAATTTGAAATCTTTTTTTTGCTTTTCAAATACAAAACTTAAAAAGCAACAATTAAAATCGATATGAAGAATTTCAACTTAGAAAATTTACCTGATCTTTTAATTAAACTATTCTTTTACGAAAGTTTCTCTCATTGTTGAAGTTTGAAAAAGTAATTTTCAGATTGAACATATAGAACTGCATCAAGAAATATGAACTTAAGTTCATGTTTATTGATGCAGTTTTGCATGTTCAATCTAAAAATTACTTTTTCGAACTTCAACAATGAGAGAAACTTTCTTAAAAGGATAGTTTAATTGAAAAATTAGAGAAATATTCTACGTTAGAATTCTTCATATTGATTTTACTTGTTGTTTTGTAAGTTTTGTGTTTGAAAAGAAAAGAAAATACTTCAAATGTTTTAATAATTAAATTATTGTAAAGTTCGACGGGTTCCATCAATCCATATAAAAATATCCCAGAGAGAAAAATGCCTCTCAGTTTTTAAAACTGCTGACACCTTTTTTCTGAACAAAAATACGTGACATTTTTTTATTAAATCGACAGACGAATTGATTGCAATAAAAATGAGTTCACATACTATCTGGTATTCAATCGCAACATCACCGTATATGGTTTACAAAAATAAATTATTGATAAAACTGCCAGATTTTATTTTTAAAAAATCTCTTTTTTTTTTGTTGTTTAAATCTACTTGATGAACTATTAACTTATGATGTCAATTAGCTAAATTAAGTATACGCTAAAAAAAAACTAATTGATCATTAAAATAAGTAGGTTCGAAAAAAAAGACATACTCTCATGACAATATACTTCCTTTTAATTGATATTTCAATTACACATCATCCTTGGAATGAATTCATTGGAGCGTTTATCATCAAATATAGGACAAAATATTAAATCTTTCATTGCATAATAATCCATTGCTTTCATTTATAGATGCCTAGAACAATATTTAGCTTCCAACCCCAACAAAAAAAAAAAAATTTCAATACAACTTTGTATTTTAGAACATTAATGAAACACTTTCATCTAATGAAACTCTTAAAACAATATAATTATTCAGATATTGAACAAACAAAAAGGATTGATATGTGTAGAAGCGATCAAATATTATGTTACAGGATGCCCCAAACGCTCATCATAAAAAAATGAATATCTTTTAATAATTTTAAGGGATTTATATGATTCTCTTTTTAATCTGATAATATACTCCTTGATGTTTCATTCTATGTATCCGCCTGTAAGCGTATGTTGTTACAGATATTAGAATTCATATAGTTCTATTAATAGTCAAAGTCAAGTCACACATATGACTGTGAAATGCTAAATATAAGATATATAGATTGGATTAGAAATACTTTTTAAAGTTTCGGAGAAATTATTACATTATCAGATCGATAATGCTCTGAAATATTATCAAAAATTACAGAAGAAAAAAATCGACGATATTCATCATGTCTGTACACCAAATTATGATAAATTTATATTCCAATGAAGACATACAGATACAATAAATCCGACAACTTCACAAAGGACATCAACAAAATTGAGTTGAGATGATATAATTTTGATACCAAGGTTAAAGGACATTAACAATTAAGAAAATTGTTTTTTTTCTTCAGACAAATTTGCTTTTGCTTCAATGATTTTTCTATAAATATAAAGTGCAAACTAATGTGAATAAGACAAATATATTAAAGAACTGGTTGAATTTAAAATGAGAATCAACAAGAAAAATAAATTAATTGAAAAATCAACTTTTTCGAGCATTTTTGCAAATATTTCGAAACAGTTTTATTTATATATTTCAAACAATATTAATCATTTTGAGCATTTCTTTTAGATCGAATTATACAAAATAAAAATTTAAAGAACATATTAGCATACTCTAAAGACAAAGTAAAAGGTAATAAAAAAAGAAAGAAAGACTTACTTTAGAATGAGCTTTGAGTTATTTTATTGCTTTTTATTTTATTGCAAAAAAAAGGAATAGTTATTCAATTTGTAATATAAGATAATTAATATGAATATTTCTTTTTTTGTTTGATTATTTTGACAACTAAATTGTACGTAGGTATATACACAAATATTCAAATCGAAACTAAATAAACTTTATGTTTGATAACTTGTTTTTGACATTATTAAGAATTTTTCTTATTTACTTGTAAAATAATGTATTGTCTATTGTTTAAATTAATAATATTGTCAGAAAAATTAGTTGTATAAAAAGAACATCAATAAAAAAATCAAGTGATGAAAAATCTCAATTACATTCAATTGCAAGCCAAACATAACAGAACAAATCGCCTTATACATATATATATATTGGAATTCAAATCTCTGAATAGATAGTATAAAATAGAGTAATAAAGACTAGTAGTAGAATTTGGACTTAGTATACTTCAAAAGTTAAAACAGGTTATCGAGCTTCACTGTCAGCTTAAGACTGACATGAAGTTTGATATTTAAGTCTGTCA